TATGCCTATTTTAAGTATTTGCAGTTAACTAGTTATATTTTATACGATTTTACAAGGATACGTCATGTTGATATTTTGTTTGTGTTGTTGAGTTTGAAACATAAAATATAGTTTTATCCATTCTACTCATATTTCTTTCCAGATGTCGATGAGAAATAGGGTGAAGACGTAACAAGTTGTTGTAGTTATACAGTTGTTATAGCTTACTAAACTGAGAAATGTTTAGGGCAACGTGTTCAAACAGAGTCGTGTTGGCTCTACGAAGGCAAACAAACACAAACATTAAGAACAATTAAATCTTTTATTATTTACAACACTCGTCGGGCTCCCATTATTTTTGCCCCTCGTTAAAAGCCTTTAACCCTTCCTTGTTTGGGATTTTAATTATTCCGAATGAAAAGGGATTAAGTAAAAGGGTTTGAGGCGCCGGAGCCCTTAATGCAACAACAAAGTGGGGTAAGAAGCTCTACCCGGGCGGAAAAGTAATACAAATCTCGCGGCTTCCTCATTCGGATTTTCCGCCCCGTGAGCACAGTCGTCTCTGGAGAAAAAAATACCTGTGAAATCACGCTTGAACAGAAGAGGGACGTAATAAAAGTCGGCATCAGCAGATCCGTGTTTATGTGCAATTAAATTTCTCCGCCGGGTCCGAACGGTAAACGTGTATGATTTACAACGGGTCTCGCGGATAGAATCGGTACGGGAGCACGTCTGAGCCTGCTAATTGTCCGCGTGAAAAAATGGTCACTGATTTCGGCCAGAATTCGATACGGTACAGTGGAAAAACAATGGTGACTATTCGGGAATCAATTAGAGATAGGCGGGCTGGGCTCAGGAAACGTCAAATCAGGAAGTGCGGATCCCAGTCCGCGGGACAAAAGGGGGATTGTCCGCGATCGGTCACACCTCACTTTTTTTTACATACAAATCCACTTCTTCCCCGCCCAGAAAAATTCACTTGGGCTATTTATCAGAAATTCAGTTTGCAGGGTGATTTTGAGTTGTGACATTGCTGATAAAATACAGACCGAAATCAAGAGGCAACCAGGATGACCTCTCAATTTGACTAAGAACTGTTCAAGAACAGAAGGAACTTCAGCTACCAACAGATCATTCATCCCAAACAATTAAAAACACATAATCCAACATCTTAAGTGAACAACTACCCACTCTTTATTATCTTATCCTTCCTAACAGACCGCTACTTCAGAGTGAGGTGCGGAAACGAGTTCTCGGTCCCATCCTTTATATCATTTATACTGCTGACCTACCTACACCCCCCAATATCATCACAATTATGCAGACGATACCAAACTCGAATCCTACATAAGATCCCTTCAATATCCAAGAACACCTTGAGCTTACCTAAGCCTAGCCCTACACTGTACACCAACATAAAGGAGATACTGATTTCCACTCAAGTCAAATACCTAGGACTATACCTAAACAGCAGAATAACGTGGAATTCACACACAAGGACTAAAAGATAACACCTAAACAGAAGACTTGAACAACTACAAAGTCTCCTAGGAACGAAATTCAATGACAGTCAAGACTGTAATAACCTTATACAAAACTTTACTGCGACCACCTTGGATATACGGAGTGAAATTGTGGGGTTCTGCCAAGCCATCTCACATCCAGCACACCCAATCCTTCCAATCAAAAGTCCATAGACAAACCATCAAGCTCTTTGGTACGTCACTAACCTCACTATCCACAACGACCTCAACATTCTTTTCTCAACGAACTGTTCCGTTCCCGATTCCAAAAGTTTCACAGCAATCTCTCGATACAACCTAACGCTTTTGCTCGAGCCATCTCCACACATTCCAACCCGCCTTAATCGACGATGGCCTCAGGACCTAATACAATGATCATGCAATTTGTAAACTGTACAACTCAGTATAGGCTACAAATAATTTGTACTTAAGTATTTGATTTCACCCGGACATGATTGGAAAATTTTTACAGCATAGAGTTTAAAACAATTTATTATTGCTATGAATGGATACCGGGCACAACAGTTTCTTTATAGATCCCATCGGTTTCTGGGAGTGTTGATCAAAAATGCTATTATTAAGCATATGGAATCAAAATTCTCTCGTCAGATTAATTATTTTTCCACCTAATCCGAGTGCGGCCGCAAGAACAGAACTGCGTACTTAAAGCTGTTTGTCCACGAGTCCTATTGTGGCACACAGCGTGGGGTTAATGAGTCGAGGATTCCATCTCTTGACACGCTCGTCCCCAGGGGATCGAGAGGATCAATAGAATCGGATTGGTAATTATAAGATGAACAAAAGGAGGCACAAAGTAAATAATGCTCAGCAGTTTCTATGTTTGATCACAATGGGCACCCTGATTAAACAGACACCAACAATGGGCGAAACGTACGATTGTCCAGACGTAGCGAGTTGTATAACCGTGGCCTTTATTGGGCGCCTGTTCGCGATGTGCACTTCTGGGCATTGAATCGATGTTATTGAAAACATTACGCCACTCGAAAGCCATCCACGTCCAAGAATGTAATGTAATATTTTATAATACAAAAAATATCTTTATTATATTGTTTAGAATAATTTATTCTTTGTAGTTCTTATATTTTAGCCAAAATAGGAACAGTTTGCAACGTTATACCACATATCCGAACAAAGAAGCTAATTTTATTTATTTGTGCAGTAAATTCGTGAGATGCGATTCATCATCCCGTAAAATATGTGGAATTTTTAATTTGCGAAAATTAATTCATGAGGTCCCGTTTGGTTCCAATTATACGTGAACGTAAACGCTAAATTGATTGAAGTGTACATGCTCAGATTTAACTGGACGGTATCTGAAATATCGTCTTACCTTATTTGTCTCAGAATAGCGTGCATGTTAGCGGGTGACGGTAAATTCAACAAAGTAGTTTTTTTGTTGGAGATATTGTCCAATTAAAAAAGAAAATGTTTGGAAGAAATTTTGCAAATATTTGAAAAAGTAGAAAGAAGAAAATTAGAAACATAATGAATTTGTTGATTTTATAGTTAACATTTAACTATTTATACAAGTTTTCATGAATCCCGAATCATAAGAATGTATGTATATTTCGTGTTCCAACAATAAAATATTTAGCTGGTTTATTGATATACAAGCAGGAATGAGAGCTAAATTTACGGCAACTTTATGCATTTTTCCTTCCATAAAGCCATAGAAATTGTGTAAAACAGACCCTTCGGTTGTACTAAATACAATTTAAAAGTTAAAACTCTATGAGACATTATAAAATGTTGTTACTATGAATGTGTATATAGTGAACATTTTAAAATTCGTACACGTTTTCATAAATCCCGACTCATATGAATCCTACAATTAATTAAGGTTTTCAGTTGAGATAAAAAGTCAATGGCACGAGCGGGATTCGAACCCACGATCTTCGGCTAGATACGCCGCTGCTCTACCACTTGAGCTATCGTGACCTCGATCACTCAGACACTAACTTCCCATCTCAACCCCACCTTTTGAATTTTCCCTCCTTTTTGCCATTTTTCGTGGGTTCGAATCCCGCTCGTGCCGTTGACTTTTTATCTCTTCTGAAAATCTTAATTAATTGTAGGATATTAATTGGTCAAGCGGACCACGAACTAGTGAATTTAATAAACTCATAAGAATTTTTGTACATTTGGTGTCCCACCTATAAAATATGTAGCTGTTTTATTTACATGCAAGCAGGAATTACAACTAGAAATATAGCAACCTTATACATCTTTCCTTCAATAAAGCCACAGCAATTGTGTAAAACAGACCCTTTCGCTGAACCGTCTAAAAACAATTTAAAAGTTAAAATTCTAAAGAGATGGTTATAATGAGTATGTTTATATAACAAATTATTGCACTGCAATTACTAAGTTTCTGACAATTTTTGTCCTAAATTTCATTTAAATCGAACTTACCTCGAATCGCCCGGTAATTAATTGTTGCTTCGTACGTTATACCTCTACAGCCATCAGGTCCTCAGCAATCAAGAGAAAATCCATAACATCCGTGAGCGGTACTTTGTTTACAAGCTTGCCAGATATGACTATAATCTGATCGCCAGGAAACTTAAACAAATCTCTTATGCAAAAAGTCTTCACGTTAGGCGGCAACGTTATTTGAAAGGCGTTAAATATAACGGTGACCTTGAAATAGCGGAAACGTAATGCAAAATCTTTCCAGTGTCCAACCGCAATTACGTATTAAACTATTTATCCTAATTACAGTCATAATTATCCCTGGTGTTTTAACATTTCATTATGCCAGTTTAACAACTGATCTAACAATGCGTTAATTAATTAACAAATTTTTCTTTTAGGTCGTGGATACTGACCAGCAAGATAGTGTATAGAAATTATTTGATTTTTTAAATCATCTGATCCAAGGTTAACTTTAAAGGTTAACTTTTTTCTCAACTAGAACTTTGTATGCAAGAATTAACTTTCAAATATTTTTTCTTATCGAAAAGTAACAAACAAATAGTGGGCTTAACGACAAACATGGGGGCAGGGGTCAGTCCAGTTTACAGTACATTTTTCAAATTATTCTCAATTAAAATCCCATGGGCTATGCCGTGATTCGAACTCAGAAGCGTTAGCTTGGTAAATCCGAATTTGACGACCTAGCAACTCCCGACATCACCTTATATCATCGAATATTTGTAATTAGATTTTATTTATTTATTTTTTTAAATTTATTATAAATTTTTATAGCCTAAATAGCCAAGTGCCATTTTTATCATTTATGCTTTAAATTGTTATTTATACTTTATAGTTGACGTTACATATGTACTTCACGAATTTTACAATTGAGCGATAAACCTTTCAAAAAATGATCTGTTGTTGAATGAATAAATGAAACGTTCCCGGCTCATACGAAATTCCGTATTATATTTTATTATTTTAATGGATACTTCGCATGTTGCACGAGACAGTAGAAACTAAAACTAGTCTTCTTAAGAACAGTGTCTTCTCACGTTGCAGGCCCGGAAGACCTCCGAAACGAGCACCGGTCGGCCTCTCACTGGCGGCGTCTCACCTTTCACAGCAGATCAAGAAACACAGGATGGACAACGGTGACTACCCTTCCTCAGGCTACGAGAACGGTCACATCTCAGGTGGGTGTTCAAGGTTATTTATTTTATTTTTTAAGGGCCAATTCAGCAAAATTGTAGCTAATCAACGCTGCTAATCACGATACCGGGGGAAACGTAGACACACAATACAGGACAAACACGACTGACCAATATCTCAACAATGCCGCTGTTCTATTGTTAGCCGATCGAGGGTGGCAAATACCAATTCTACCCCCTTTGTGCCCCTAAAGATAACAAACTATCAAACCTGTTCTAGCCGTTATTGCTTGCAAATTCATTTCATCAAACTAATGGTTTTTGTTTATTTTACATGGTGATATGTGTTCATAATATTTAGAAGACTTTCAGTCGTGAACATCTAGAAATGATAAAAAGGCAGAGAAGAACGTATTACGTTGATTATAAAACTTTTACATAATAAAAAATGTTGATTATTCTTTCGGTTAAACGTTTATTGTTTCTTATTTATAGAAAAATTCCAAAAATCCTACATAATAAACACTCGTTTATAACTAAAGTTTTTTATAATTGTATTGACAAATACATAAATTGAAACATAAGTAATTTTTCAAAAAGTGAGTCTACCTATTCACCCCATCTTTACTATTTCTCTCAATTAAAACACTTTACATTTACACTTTTAAAAATTGCTAAACCTGTCAATGTTTGGCTTAGCTAATAATGAGAGGTTTCAAAACCTGTGGCCTACTTTATATTTGGAATTTATTACAACATAAAACGTTTATATATGGCATAACGTTAATAAAAAAATATTTTCAACAATATCCGAACGAGATGTCTCAAAACCCAGTAACTAAGCTATTTTAATATATATTACTTCATTTATTAAATTTTATTGTTAATAAAATTACATCTTGTGGTTTACAGAATTGAAATACACGTTAATGAAACATTTAAAAGTGTAATGAGTATTGAAAAAGCTAAAGTTTGGCTAATTATTAATGAGAATTAATTAGAGGTTTTTTAAAATAGGTCTTCGAAATAGTAATATAAATATAATTACATGAGATTTCTCTGTGTGTTCTGCGGGATGATGAACCTGTAATTTGTTCGTTACCGAAACGCCCTCTGACAGACCTAAACAGCGAGGGTAGGCAGACCAATATGAACTGAACCATGAACTGAAATATGAGCATCAAATACGTAGCATTCAAACATAAATTTCTAGTCACACGGTATTACAATATTTGGCACAAAGGCACAGAGTTACAGATGAAGTATATTTATTTTAGATTGTTATTGTTATTATACTATGGTCTGATTAATTAGACGGAATGACAATTTTTTGTAAGATAAAAACGTCATAATTAAACTTTATATTTCTTTCTATTTTCTTCTACTTTCTTGCTATAAATTATTGCAAAACATTTGTTAAATTCAACGAATTCAACGCGTTTATTGTAACTGCCATTCCATTTGAATTCGTAAAATTTTTATTGGATTTTTTAATGTAAAGAATTTTATGAATAATATTCCAAATTGTTAAAAGATTAATATCTAACAAGTGGACGACCAGGTTGGTGTTTCACAGATTTGGACCAAATTTTTTCGGTGATTCTACATTCCTAAATATCGGCCACTTTTTTCGTATGGGCCCCGATTTCACCGACACAATATTTTTGAAAGTTGAAATTTTCCGTTTTTTAATAGTTTAATTTGTCGTTCTACTTCCTCAAATCAACTATCTTGATAATATTTTTATTATGATACGTAAATATATCATTTAATTATTTTTTAAATAAATTGAATAAAAATATAGTAAAAGTTATCAAAGTTTATCAATAACGAAATAATTTCTAATTAATTAAGGTTTTTAGTTGAGATAAAAAACGCTGCTACCCCATCTTTTGAATTTTCCCTCCTTTTTGCCATTTTTCAAATGTAGTGTAATCTATTTGATTCTCGGCGACACGTGGTGGGGTTGAGACAATTGATAGAGTAACGGCGTATCTACCCGAAGGTCGTGGGTTCGAATCCCCCTGGTGACATTGACTTTTTATCTGGACTAAAAACCTTAATTAATTGAAAGATATTAATTGGTCAAGCGGACCACGGAAACTAGTGAATTTAATAATTTCTAATACTCAAATGTTTTCAAGTAAACTAGCTCATGATTTTTTCGTAAAACTAATACAAAATTTCTTAGCAAAAACATTCCTAGTACAAGTTCTAACATCATTTTTTCAAAAGATAGAGGACCAATTTTCATAGTTGATATTTTTTTTAAAAAGAAATTCTAAAGCGGATTTTATAACCGTATCGAACATTAAAATTGTACTGTTTTTTGGAATTTAAAAAAACGAGGTTAATTTGTCGTAAATAATTTTGCTATTTTGTGTATTTCCTTATAGAAATATTTCATACATTTTAATGGCACACGTTAAAAAATTACTTCCTCTTCTTTCGAGTGGTCTGCGGACGATAAAATAAAATAATAGCCGTTTTTGTTTTATTTTCGTTTCAATAATATATTCCGATAACGACTTCTGAAAAATTGTAATTTTAAGTGTTAAAAAATAGATAAATTTAATTAAATAAAAAATTCATATTTCGGGTTTCTAGAGGTGCTAAAACGAAATTTAATATTAATTTCACAAAAAACTCATAACCTGGTTTACTTAACAAATATTTGGTTTTTAGAATATTTTTTGGTTGATGATAAAGGTTGATAGCAAACTACATAAAAATGCTGTAAAATGATATATTCACATAGCTCAGAACGGTGAAATAAAAATATTTAAAAAAACTGAAAATTTCAGCTTGCAATAAATTTTTTTGCGATGCAAGGGGTAGTTCACAAGAAATGGTGAATGCTTGTCTGATATGTAGGAAACTAAGCAGAATATTCGTTTTGATGAATCTGACCCCAATTTTACTTACTCTATGAGGAATTGGGTTGTTTACTATTATAATTTAAAAATGATGAGTTTTTGTTTCTGATAATGAATTATAATTGGAAAATTAGTTTTGAAGTTAATTTTTAATGCAATATAAAATTTCTCCATAAAGAATGGAAAAAAGATGTTATTTACAAAACGAAGTAATCATAGAAATCCTTTACTTTATATGAATAAAACGTCGTGGAATGGTAATGTTTGAAAAGGGTTGAAGGGCTGTCAGGGCCACCTGAGAAAACGCTCGTAAATAAAAATGCGAGTACTAAAGAAGAAGGGAAATAATTAATTGTTTCGATCTGTTTACACAATGTTTGAGAAAGGGTTGGAAAACAAACAGTCTTGCTCTTATAAAATGCTCACTATTCGTCGAACGAGGTTCTGTAAATTTAACGGGAGGTGGGCCAGAAATCGGGGCATTGTGAAGCCGGGCCGATGTTTGGTATGACCCCGTGCAAACAGCAATAATAAACAAGCCCCTTGTATTGACGATTTAACAACTTCTCAATTATTATTTCATCAAGCCATTGATTCAATAGCAAACACCAACCGTAATCAACCTTGATTGATACTGGGAAATATTAAATTCTGTTTGCTAATTTTGATTCAACTTCTAAAACTTTCAACCCTTTCCTAAGAATACTTTGCCAAATTTCCACGATTCGATAATAAAATGATAACAACTCTCAAAAAGTATAAATATACACCTTTTTATTTCTCCCTTCATTTATGTTTAATCGACTTCTATTTTTAAAGTGGTATAACTTATAAGTAAAAATTGGGAAAATACTCAGCATTTCATAAACAATTTTTCTTAATTAATTACCAATTATTTAAACATTTAGTTACATCAGTAGAGGTCAAATTTCATGAAGAAGTACTGAATGCCTCTAGAGTTAAAAAACTGTATATAAACTCATTTCTTAACAATATGGCGTCAATAATAAATCGATTATAAATTGTTCATTATAATTATCACAGTTCTTTGTCTTGCAAACTCAATTGTAAAGTTTAAATTTTTTGAAGTTTAACTACAAAAAAAAATTTATCAAACATTATTATTGACTGTATGATGTCTTTATTATTTATTTACCATAATATAATGGATAATTTTTTTTTAATCATTGCATCACTTAAGTCACACATCACAAATAATTATGAACAACTTTCAATTAATTAAGTTTTTTAGTTAAGATAAAAAAGTCAGTGTCACGAGCGGGATTCGAACCCACGATGTCGGCTAGATACGCCGCTGCTCTACCACTTCAGCTAGGAAAAAGGGAGGGAAAATTCAAAAGGTGGGGTTGAGATGGGAAGTTAGTGTCCGAGTGGATCGAAGTAACGATAGCTCATGTGGAAGAGCAGCGGCGTATCTTGCCGAAGATCGTAGGTTCGAATCCCGCTCGTGACACTGACTTTTTTTTATTTCACCAATACCTTAAATACAGATTAATTAATTGAAAGATATTATTTGTTCAAGGGGACCACGAAAACTAGTGAATTAAATTCATATAGTTCAAAAATTAATTTATGCACTGATGTACAAATTTAACACACCACTCGATTAATTTAGTTTAAAATTAAATCCATTAACTTCCTAAATTAGTTACAGGAGGTATCACATTAAACCACTGAGCATCTAAATTTATAGTTTGTTTTGCTATTTCAAATAAGTATTAAACGTTTACAGACCGAGACACATTGTATAAATGTGAAAAAGGGACGACCCTTGAGGAATAGAAAATCAAATCAAACGTGTGTTGAATGGAGACGTTTCGAAAAAGTACAGGTCGTGGGTGAAATAGTCGGTTTTGAACTTACAAACACTGAAACACGGAAATAGGGGTACACAATTATTGTTACCCAATTAATTAAGGTTTTTAGTTGAGATAAAAAAGTCAGTGTCACGAGCGGGATTCGAACTCACGACCTTCGGCTTGATACGCCGCTACTCTACCACTTGAGCTAGCGGCGTATCAAGCCGAAGGTCATGGGTTCGAATCCCGCTCATGACAATCACTTTTTATCTCAACTAAAAACCTTAATTAATTGAAAGATATTAATTGGTCAAGCGGACCACGAAAACTAGTGAATTATGAATAACAA